AGTTCTTGCTGAGGAGTCTGGTAATAGTGATGGTAGGAATTTGCATCCCAGCCTGGCACCAGATGTGTAGAAAAAAACAACAAACAAAGGCTTTTGGACAACAAGAAGAAAGTTACAACTTGCAGATAGAACTTTGTGGTTAGACTTGATGGCAACTAATAGTGTATTAAAGAGGGTTTGGTCACTGATGGTATTGATAAGACTACTTACCACTGTAACACCTTGAGAAACAACCAGTAGGAGTTCCCAGCTCAAAGTGTTGACTGTGGAGATGGGGAGGCTGTTAATATCATCACACAAGGTACTGGTGAGGTCTTATCTAGAATACTAGATATAAGGGAGGTCAGTCCCATTTAAGAAAGCTTAATTTAAGCTGGAAGGGTAGTTAAGACTTACTAGGATGATAAAGGAAACAGTTTGAATGAGAAACAGACAGGTTGAATTCATTAGCCAAGCAGAGGAAGGCTAGAAGGCGATGAGGATGGTGATGCTTTCTCTGATCTATCAGAATAGGAGCTGCTGGCATTAAAAGCAAATCTGTAGAAATAAATTGCAGCATTTTAATACTGTCAATATTCACTGTATGGGCATTTAGATTTTGTTCTTTTAAAAAGATAAAGTTATGTTTTCTCTTCAGAAACCAGACCATTACAGAGTTCTTCAAACCAGTTTTAAACCAAGGTAAATATGTTTTTTAAAACCAGAAGGTATTGTATGAGGTTTGATTATATAAGTGTGCAGAAGTATAGTTTAATCTCATTCCACATTGGAGCAGCAATATATGGAGTATGTCTTACCACCTATGTCAATATGTGCACATTGAATTTTTTTTCTAATAATGTAGGTAAACCCCATTAATTTCTTAATAAATGAATTTATTTAATGATGTAATTATTCAAGTTATTGTCTTGGGCTTGAGCTAGACTGTTTCTAACAACTGAAGCTGTGACATAGATCATGAAGTTCCTTGATAAAAAATAAATTGCATGGCACTAGCAAAACTAAATGATTAAGTAAATTCATTTTGGATTGCATGTGAGAGAGAGTTAAAATAGCAAGTAATACAGTCCAGTAAGATTCCCCCCACCCCCCAATATTGTGATTGTGAATAATTTGTCTTGTCTTTTCTGTCTTAGACCTTGGCCATAAAGACAGAACTGTGTTGTGCTCACCAGACAGAGGAAATGTAAAAGATGCAGCTTTGTGTGCTGAGCGTTTTGAAAAGAAAGTGTCTTCTCCAAAGAAGGTCAGAAGAAAAAAGATGCCAGACCGAACACGAAACACAAGTCCTGTGTTAGATGTCTTTCGGAGAAGAATTAAGGAGAAAAAAGACAGTTCAAACGTTTTAGAGAATGGCAGAGCATGCAAGGCACTGGGTTCGTTGTACCCAAAAGTTGTGATTAAAAGACTTGTTAATCCAGGGTCTCAAAACAGCCATTTCTTGGCCAAAAAGGATAAAACTGTCAAATCAGATCAGGGAAGAAATGAGAAGTGTCTGGGAGTAATAAGAGCACCATTGTCTTGTGGAAATTGTTGTGAACAGAAAACTGACTGTATGGATCTAGAAGACACAAGTTCAGACTCCGACAAATGGGTTTCATCACCAGAAGCTGATACTCGAAAAGCCTGTGATAGAAATAATGGTACTGTGAACACAACAGCTCTGTGCCAAGCCCCAGGGCTTCCCAGGAAACTGCCCCGCACACCAACTGACTCTGAATTCACGTTGTCACTGGGAGCTCTCTGCAGAGAAAGGAAGTCATTCTCAGGAACAAGTGTGTCACATCAGGTGTGCTTAAAAGGGTCATTAAAAGTGGAAATCAGTGATTTTTATCTTATCAGGATAAGATTCCTGGTGCTGCCTTTTTCAGCTGTGAAAAAGTTTATTGCTATTCCTTTTGTGAATTTTAGGTCATGTTTGGGTAAGCTGATTCTTAACAATTTTACAATAAAATCCTGGTTTAAAAGCAGGGGATATATTCTGGATTAGATGCAAGCATGGAAATGCAGTGGAAATTGTAACTTTAAATTGTATTTTGTAGAAAAAACTTCTTTATCTTAAATGTCTTACAACCTTGTGTTTTCTAACAGTGTAGCATAGAGAACGTGTTTGGAGACCTCATAGCAGCCTTCCAGTATCTGAAGGGTGCCTACAAGGATGCTGGGAAGGGACTCTTTGTCAGGGACTGTAGCGATAGGACAAGGGGTTTAAACTTAAACAGAGGAAGTTCAGGTTAGCTATAAGGAAGAAGTTCTTTATTGTGAGGGTGGTGAGGCACTGGAACAGGCTGCCCAAAGAAGTGGTAAATGCTCCATCCCTGACAGTATTCAAGGCCAGGATGGACAGAGCCTTGGGCTACATGGTCTAGTGTGAGGCTTCCCTGCCTGTTGCAGAGGGGTTGGAACTGGATGATCCTTCCCCACCCAAATCATTCTGTGATTCTATGATCTATGATTCTATAATAACGTGCTATGAATGGAACAGAAAGAAAAATTTAGTTTGTGTTTCATTTTCTCCTTACCACCCCTTCCTCTGTATTTGCTTGTGTGTGCTTTCTGTCAGTTTGGCTTTTAAGTTCCTAATGACTTGTTTGAGGAAAGCGACTAGGGTATGTTGCCGTATAGCCCAGGCTTGCTAATGGCCCTAAAAGTGGAGAGAGAGAGAACAAGAGGCCAATCTGAAGGAAAAGATAGAAAATTTGGGTTGTGGAGAGTCCTTGTGTTGAGATCTTTGCACTGTGTTTTAAGTTGCTTTTGAAGCTAAGTACATTGCCATATTTCTGGGAGTGTGTGAAACAAAGGCTGTGCTGGATTTAACACTTGGCTCAAGATGTCAATATCCTGTTTTTTAAAAGTATGGAATTAAATTTTTTATTTTCTCCATCTTTATTTTTAGGGAAATGGATTTCCTTTAAGAAAAATACCACATTCTGGTTCAAGGAAGACTGCCTCAGGTAGAAGCAGTGTTGGTAATGTGGAATTAATGAAACAATCGGGTTCATCAGTTGGCTTTTTTTTTCTTGGAGTTATGTTTTTGTTTGCTCTCTTAAAAAAAAATAATATAAAATGCTGCTGTATAGTCAAGGTTATTCCAATACATGGCAAGCTGAACAGGTGTTAAAGTAATTTGGGGTTTTAGTGATAACAGATTGTTTCTAAGTCATCATATTTCTTTGTCTTAAGCCCTTAATACCTGACTGTTTTTATGGTTTCTCTTGCATTTTGGAAAATCCGCATTCCCTGTGGTGGTTAGCACATTTCAGCTTAATCCAGGAAGAACATTCTTGTTGACCCAAATGCTAAAATTTAGCTGGTATTCTTGTTGCTTGTTGTCTATTTTTAATCACATAATTTTGTTCTAAGGTAGGTAGAACTGGATATAAAATGCTCACATGGATAGAAACTTGGGCTTGGTCAGTAGGAGGATTTTAAAAAGGTGGAGGGGAGCAATGCTGCTCTGCTTCAGTTTCTACCTATGCTACCACTGGGACTTGGCCAGCAGACCAAGGAGGTGACCTGGCTGAAAATTTGAGTTGGGAAGTTCTTAGCCACATCAGCTCCATGAAGTAGCTTGGCATGAAGTGCCCAGGGGCTGACACCAGCTTAAGACAGGAAGCAGAAAAGCATGGTGAAGGTGGTGGGCTCTGGTGCCATAGAACAATAGCCTCAAAACAGATTTCTTTGTATTCTGAATGCTTTTTTTTATGACTGCTGTTTAAAACTATCCCAAAATACTTTTCATACTGTTTATTCCTTATAACCATAATACATAATTACAGACATTTTCTTCCAGTTCCATACCTCAACTGGGCTATTGTCTGTTTCTAAACACTCACTGATCCTAGTATACAGAAAAGTGTTATACAGTGGCTACTCATCTGCTTTAAAATGAGAAGATGTAATTTCATTTCCAAGTTAGTGACCATGATAACAGTACAATATCAACTAAATCTTAATTGTGGTCCACTGCATTCAAGTAGAATGGAAGTACTGTTTCTGATTTAAAAAAAAAAAAAATCAGTCATAGTTGATTTAAAAACAACAGTTATTTTTTTAAAGCGTAAGATGTTGTTTTGGAGGTTTTAATTATTTTTTAAACATGACTATTGTGTTTTACCTTCTTAAAACATTTCCTAGATGACCCATCTCAACCAAAGCCAAAGCAGGTTTCAAAACATGAGGCGTCTTCTCCAAAAGCACTGAGAACATCATCTGAGATGGCTGCAGGTATGCAGAAGACCCAGTCTATTCCTTCATCCTGCCTTAGAACTAAGATGTCTTCTCGGCGATCCAAACAAATGGACTTTGCCGGGAAAAGAAAACGTGCTGCCATGAGTGTGGATGCAGACAGTTCAAATCGGTCTGAAATATCAAGTTTGAATGAACCTGCTTTTAGTAGATCATCTGCAAAATGCAAAAATAGGAAGTCTCACTTTGTAAAGAATATCCTATTAAAGTCTACTTGTGGTGGTGTTCTGCAACTGATGGAGGCCGCTGCTCTACCTAGACATGATTCTCCTCTCCCAGAGGAATACCTCAACTCAAGCCATGAAAATGAGAAAAATAATTGCTCCTCTGTTGGTTTGTCAGCTTCATATTCTGCACACAGTCCTGGTAAGAATAACCACATTTCAGTTGTGGATACCAAAGAGAATCAATTACAGGTGGCTAACTCATGTGTTTTCTTGGAAAAGTCCCTTCCTTTTTCTCAGGAAAAAAGTACTGTGTTGCCTTCTCTCCACCACTTATCACATACAAAAGGGGTGAAATCTCATCCCCAGAATGCTGGCTTATCTCAGGTATTGGATGCTAAGAAAGAGCAAGATGGGAAAAGAACAGAAAGATGTGCTTACAGTATTCAATCCAGCAATGGTTTTTCACAAACAAAAGGTGAGACTTCAGAAAGTACTTCTGGTTCAGTGGAAGGATCTGGGAAACTGGCACTCTCCGAAGGTACTGGTAAGAGTGTTCCCCACTCATTGCCTTTTAAAGAAGGGTGCATGGACAGCAGCTATAGGTCTTCACAACACTCGGGGGAGATGAAAGTTGAAAGCACCTGTATGTCCAAGTCCAAGCTGAATGGAAAAGCAAAAAGCAGCTTTGACAGTGAAGATGAGAGTTTGGAATGCAATCTAGATGATGACGATGATGAAGTGCTTGTGCCACTGCAAGAAATCCTCTTTCCAAGTTCCAAGCCACAGGCAGGAATCCTGGAAGAATCTTCTGGCGATTTTTCTCCGGTCAATATGAGTCCATTACTGAAGCTTCATGTAAGTGGCTAAAAAAAAAAAAAACCCATACAAATCCCCCAAAAAGCATTGCATCAGATTTGTTCTATTGTATTTTTTAATAGTTGGTTTTTTTCTCCTTTATTCATAATACATGGAAACACTTGCCTGTAAAACTGGTTACTCAGCTGAAGAGTCCTATGGTGTACAGTGCAATATAGTCAGAGAAATTACTATGCTTGTTGTTGGAATGGCTGAAAGATGGTTTGCGCAGCCAGGTTACATTACCTGTATGCCTTCCAGTGGTTTTTAGGAGTTCTGGTTTTGCTTTTTCTCCCTAAAGAAAAAGGCAGGAGGCTACATCTAGAAGATGTGTGGATTTTTGAGTTTAAGCAAACTAGAGGAAATTGATGTAGATGTTGAGATCTATGTGCTAGACTCCAGTCCTATATCCTGTCTGTGATTGTCAGAGCTCTGTGTACAAGTTCTTGGTCTGCTAGTGTGATGTTTTCTTTGAGGTTGAATTTCATGGGAATTGGAATAATTTTAGGATTTCAAAATGCTGAATGATGACTTCTGCTCTCAAGGGACAGTGATTTGCAGCTTACAGGATGTTATGCTGAGGAATTGCTCTGTGTTTTTAAGACTTAGCATATTTGTTTAGTAATACCTTGTCCAATAGTGGTTTTGAAGATTCATTGTAAAAAAAAAAAAAAACAAAAAAACAAACAAAAAAAAAAAAAACGTTTTAACTAGGAAGGTCCTGCAGTAGGACTTAGCGTGGCGTTCCCAGCAAAGTTGGTACAGGTGGAAAATGGCTGTGTTTAAATAAGAAGATTTAGTACTGAATGTGGCAGGGATGGAGTTAATTTTCTTTAGAACAGCTGTATGGTGCTGTGTGTTTTGGACAAAAACGGTGTTGGTAAGAAAATAGTGTTCTGACTGTTGTGGAGCAGTACTTGCATAGTGTAAAGGCTTTCTGTTCTTCCCACTCTGCCTCCATAGTAAGTAGGCTGGAGTGGTCAAAGAGCTGGGAGGGGACAGAGCCTGGACAGCTGGGCAAAGGGATGTATGTATTCCATGCCACTCAGCATCACGCTCAGCAATCAAACAAACGAGGAGGAGCTGGTCTGGCACGTAGCCATTACTCAGAGCTGGGCATTCTTCTGCTTGTGGGAGGTGCTGAGTGACTGCCTTTGCATCGTTTTTCTTTCCCCAGTTATCCTCTCTTCCTTCACTTATTAAACTTTATCTCAACCCAGGAGTTTTGTTGCTTTTGCTTTTATTCACTCCCCTGGGTGGAGAAAGGAATGAGCTGTGTGGTACTGAGCTGCTGGCTGGGGTCAGCTCACCACTATTTTCTAGAGTAGAAAACAAACAGCAGAATACCTATATAAATACTGTCATCTTCTCCCATTTTGAAAACTCTGAAATAGTTTATTTAAAACTTAAATGGGAGGAGATTTAGATTGGATGTAAGGAAAAAATTCTTTACTGTGAGGGTGATGAGGCACTGGCACAGGTTGCCCAAGGAAATTGTGGCTGCCCCCCAGCCCCGACAGTGTTCAAGGCCAGGTTGGACAGAGCCTTGAGCAATCTGGTCCAGTGGGAAATGTCCCTGCCCGTGGCAGGGGGATTGGAACTAGATGATCCAAAGGTCCTTTCCAACCCTAACTATTCTATGATTATATTATTTGTTTACTAGTTACTGTTTCTGTAGGCAGATGTTGAACAGCCATAATTGTTCTAACTGTTCTTACGTTTCATTAAGCAGGCATGTCATAGATCAGATTTCTGTGGCTACATGCATATTCCACAGTCTCAACCAACATGTCCACATAATTAATGGTTAAGACTGATAAACAGATGTAGACTAGATCAAATGTTTGTGAAACATGTATGTGACCACAGCAGTTGGCCTATCCTGTTTAATGGCCAAGTAAGCACAGTTATGAACTGTCCAGAATTTCCATGACCATGGGTTTTGCATATACTAGCATTCTTCTCATGCCTTGTAAGAAGGGGCACATATGCACATTGGCATAAAATCTTGATTTCTCAGTTGTTCAACAGTTGGTTTAGACATACTAACCAGAAATAAAGGTTAGAGAACTTCAGCTTTCCCACAAGATTTCCCACACAAAGACATGCTGCTTGCTATATATGAAAGCTATTTCTGAATACCAAAGTAAGCACTGTATTAACTGGCTTTTTTTATTAGCAGGTGACACTAACTGTTGTTGCCTTTGGGTAATAGAAAATCCCCAATTGAGAGTGTATGCTGTTATTGAATTGTGTTCTCCTAAAGTGAATGAGCTTGTAGGAGGAAGCTTTGTCCCTAGTAAGAGGCTTGCAATTTAAGAAGGTGTTGTCAGAAGGATTGTCCAAAGAACCAAATCATGGCCATAAAAGACTTAGTCTTTATTGTCTACTACTGAATAAAACACCGGCTACTAAATACCATACTAATTTTGGTAGTAGTTAAGACTTTCTTTGTGTGTTATTTTGTTTTTTAATTCTATTTATTAGCTGCTTAATTTGGGTTTGTATCAGGATTTAGAAAGGTTTTTTTTGTCTGATGATTTTGGAGATGATTTAGCAAAGAGTGGTGCTTTACCATCTAGGGACTTCAGAAAGTATCAGAGAGGTACTGATGGAGTTTCTTGTCTCGAGCACGGGAATGGGGATTCTCAGGGTCTTGGTAGATGGTAGTAATAAAGCAGTGAGGTGAAAGGCTTCTGATGCTGGTGCTCTTTGTGAAGGTTGGCTGGAGTTCAGTCACAGGGAGAGAAGCTTTCCTGTTCTGTTGTGAAGCACAGTTTAATCACTGAGACAGACTTGGCAATTTTATGTAATTGTCAAGGGACTGAAAACCTGTTAATTGTGCTGTTTTCAGGGTCTCCTGAAAAACTCCTTTGAGTTTTAATCTTCAAGTAAAATGGCATTAAAATTGGAGGTTTCTATTTTGATCATGTTTGTTGTCTAATACTGAATGGATACCTTGTGGTACTTTCTAAATTTCTTCCTATTTCATTTACAGTTGTCTAAGCCTCCTGTTGTTAGCCAGGTGTCATATGTGAACAGCTTAGAACATCTCTTGAAGGAGAAAGAAGACTCAAAAAGGTTTGGTTCTTAAAGCTGCTTTGAAAAATCTGGGATGAAGTTACAAAAGGTCAGAATTACCTCACCTCCCCGAAACTGAAGAGTTTTTGTTGCAACAGGCTAAGCTTTGCCTGCTGATGCCACCAATATACATCTGATGGGACCTACAAGTGTGGCTTAACTGTAAAAACTGAATGACAGGCTCCTTGTAAGCAATAATGAGCGATTTGTGATATATCTGCCTACCCCTCCAGAGCCAGATTAAATTTGCTGATGCCTTCCTTGTAGGTCACTGAGCCAGCTGCTGGACAGGCATGAAATAGAAGGATGTTTGTAGACTCACTGTACTAATTTCTTCAAAGGCATTTGTAGCTCAGTTTTGTTTTCCAAAGTTGTGTAGACTCTTGGTAGCCTGAGCAGTTACACAGTTCAGTGAATAGAACTAATGAGTGTTCTTCCAAGAGACCTTTTGGGTAGAAAGCATAATGTGGTATATGTGCTAATGGCAGGTGGTGGTGATGGGTATGTAAGTGTGATTAACTGTTTTCATTAAAGAATCTGACCCTAATAACTATGGGCTGACTGACTATGGAGTAGTGGATACTCCTATGACTAATACTATTTAATGAATAAAATACTAGTATGATGTTTTAAGCAAAACAAAAAAAAAACCCACCCAAAATTTAAGAAAACTACAAAGAGAAGTTTGAAAGTTTTGTGCAATTACAGCAAACTCTATCAGAAGTTAGTTGAGTGTGTTTGCCTTTGACAAACTAGGGATTGATTGTGCTGTTGGAAATTCATTAGGGTTTGGGAAACATGTAGTTTATATCTTGGAATAACAGGATGCTTGCTTTTTATACAAATGTAATGTCTTGCATGCTTTTGCTATGCCTAATGGGCTACTGAGTCCTAGGTTCACATTTAGGGCTTCAGTTTTGTTGATTTCTGTTGTGAATGCTGAATGGTGACAATATGTTCTGCTGCTACTGTTGTTTCAGGATAGATGAACTAGAAAAGCGGTTGCAAGAAGACCTACAAGGAAAGGAAACTGATTCTTCAGATGGAGAAAATGAGGAGAATGCCAGTGGAGATGAAGATCTCTCAGAAGAACACAGGTCCTTCCAACTCCTAAACTAATAAAATCTAGTTCTTCGCTTTTTTAGCCTTTTTTCTTTTTTCTAATCTCCCTCCATTAATTGTTAATATGTTTAATGTGAATCATTTTTATTGTCTTTCGGGTTTGAGTGGGTTTTCTTGGACAGTGCTGTATTTTAACAATTCAGCTTTCACATCAGGCTGACATGTTCATCATCTGGAAATAACTGTCTCAACTTGCAAATAGCCTCTGGATGTTTAAATTCGTAAAAGTAGTTTTGAATTTTACAGGGCATTTATAAAGAGGTTTTCAGTAGTAGCTCATGCCATACCTGACTACCACCCTGGAGAAGATATATTTGATTTATCAGCCTCTGGGAAAATCTTCAGTCAGCATGACCTGGACTTCAGGAATTTTCACTTCATCCCTCAAAATCCTATAGAAAAGCTACTTGTTAAGTAAGAATATTTTCACTCTGTTGTTACTTGCATGTTTTTTTTTTCAGTGTTGAATGAAAATAAGCTCTGTTTTACTAAGTACGAAAAGACTCCCTTTTCCTGGAAGTCTCCTTTCCAGGTTAGCTTTACAGAACAGTGAATTGTTACTTGAAGCTTCCTTCTTTCGTCTCCTGGAATTCTCGAGAAACATCTTAAATGAGATGGAAAAAAAAAACAGGTGTTCTCCCCTCTTCCATATTTCTACTGTGTTGGGCTGTCATTGATAACCTGAGGAGTTTGTGGAAGTGAAGTGTTGAATGAAGAGAAGCTTAACTGTTACAAGACAATTGGTGGTAAACTGATCTGTGACCTATTAATGTTGCATTATGTCTACGGAAAAACTCAGGTGTTTTGCTTCTGAATGGGCTTAGAACTTAGGGCCTCCTCCTCCACCTAATGAGGGCTGCAGGAAGTCATGGTTTCTGACGTCTGTTAAGATTTAGTCGCTGAGCTAGCAGTGTGTCTGTGTGTATAGAACAACTGTTCTATAACTCATAAGGATTTGTATTCTATATTTACAAGGCTGTCAGGCTACAAATAGCTAGACAAATTCTTGCCTAATACCACAAGTGCAAATCCTGAAAAAATCCAGTTATTTTGCTTGGCATTTTATTCCAAACTTGTATCAGTGGAACAGAGAGAATTCATTTACTCTGAAAAGATTTTATGTACACATGTATGTGCTACTGTGGGTGTGAAGAGGAGGAGGGTGGCTTCTGATCTCTTGAGGAAGTGATGTTTGTGATACACTCCTTTGGCTTCAGGCTTCTCTATTAACATGTTTTGAAGATCACAAAGGTATAAGCTTCAAAAGCATCTTGTGACTGGAGGAATGAGAATTAAACAAATCATCCCTTGCAGAAGGCAATTATGATTTAATTGCTTGTGCATTCTGCCCAGTTGGCACATGGATGTCTTCCTAGCCACTTGCTCAGACAGACAGGTCAAGGAGGTGGGGGAAATTGGGACAGAGATCTCTCAACAGAGCTACCTCTTTTAGTGGATACTGAGAGCAGGGGAAACTAAAGGGTAGATGGGAAACTGGATATCATTAATTCAGCTGCTTATGGCATATCTGACTTTCTAGAGAAAGCTAAAGCTAAAATAATTCAGTAACAAAAGTGACATAGTTTCTATTCTTCCAACAGCTACCTTTTCACCTCACAGACTTGCACAGTGAGTTTAGACTGGTTTACTTCAGTTTGCCTTCAAACTTTTTGTTTGAAAGGTTATTTTAAAAACTTCAAACAAAGTTTTTTCTCTTATAAAAGTGTTGGTAAAGGTCATTGGAGTTAAAAATCTTACTGGTCTTATGGAGCATAGCAGCCAATCTGTGTAAACAGGCTTAGAGATTCATAGTACAGTAGTGTAAATCAATGTTTGTAAGTATTTCATAAAGGTAAGAGCATATGAATAACATCTGTTTTAGATGTTCAGATCTTTGTTTGCTGTTGATGACGATCTGAGGGGTGGGGAAGTGCTGACTCAACCACTAACTGATTTTTCTTCTCTTTCCCCACTCCCATCTTTGTCTTTACAGTTCCAGTGTAGCACAGCAACTTTCTTTAACTATTAATGGTTTTCTAAGTTCTGCTTACAGTTGTATCTTGTGTCCCATACCAATTCTGAAGTGGCTTTTCCAGGTAAGACTGTAGTATTTGTGCAGTTACACTCCATTATATTCTTCCTGGAAGCAGTAGTAGCAGGAATAATCAGAACGAATTTGTGAATCTGTTGCATTATATTAACAACTCTTATATAAAAGTCTTCCTTTCTGGGTTCTGATTTGTTCTCCAGTCTGAAATACTTAGATTGTCAAAAGGGGTAAAACACTAGTGACTGCAAAGCTGCACATGCCTGTCCATGTTTTACTGCATTTGAAAAGGGCATGTTACATGCTAGGTGAGAAGGGATTTCAGGATATAATAGTGTTGGACAAATCATAAGCAAATGTTAATCTTGCTTCCTTCCATCTTTCAAAAAAAAAAAAAAGGTACATGCTGCAGTATACAAAAGTGCAGAAGTACCATTTTGACATCTCTCACCTTCTAAATCTTCAGAGATAACTGCATTATCGGGTAATTTTCGTTTGGAAAAGGTGGCTCAGGAGAAAGACTAGAGCTATTGTGAAAGGAAATGTGTCTGTCAGTTTTCTAGATGTCTTTCTAGGTGTCTAAATCCCCAGGAACTTACAATGTTCTATTACTTTCAAAAATGCCCCTCTCCAGTCTCCATTGTATTACTGTGTGTTCAAGGCCAGGTTGGGCAGAGTCTTGGGTGACATGGTTTTAAACTTAAACAGGGGAACTTTAGGTTAGATATAAGGAAGAAGCTCTTCACAGTGAGGGTGGTGAGGCACTGGAATAGGTTGCCCAAGGAAGTTGTGAATGCTCCAACCCTGGAGGTGTTCAAGGCCAGGCTGGACAGAGCCTTGGGTGACATAGTTTAGTGTGTGGTGTCCCTGCTCATGGCAGGGGGGTTGGAACTAGATGATCTTAAGGTCTTTTCCAACCCTAACTATTCTAAGATTCTGTGATTGTATGATTCTATGACATGGTCTAATGTGAGGCGTCCCTGCCTATGGCAGGGGGGTTGGAACTAAATGATTTTAAGGTCCTTTCCAACCTAAACCGTTCTAAGATTATTTACCACATTCTAACTGTGCCTGAAATAAAAAGTAAAGCTGGACCACCTGTGAAACTGCAGCCTGGGTCTGACTGGCTTTCTGCTTTTGCCAAAAAGGAAGCGTTTTGCTCCTCTGTGTCCTCCCCTCCAGCCAGTGGAAGATTGCCTTCCACCCCTTCTGTGAGCCCTGGTGTTCCTCTCATGAGGAGGAAGTGTGAGCCAATTCAGCTCACTTACAGAGCAGGAAACTGTTCAGCACCTGGGGGAGAAAAAGAGTGTTTTGCTGGGCTAGTGTGCCAGGAAACCCGAGCTGTGCTTCATAGTTATGTTTTTGTAGTTAAGAGTTCTATAGAAAACTGAGAATTCATTGTTTGGGTTTAGTGTTCTGTATGTTCAACTTGCTTATGACTGGAAAGGTTGTAGTTCATTCCGTTGCCCCCCACGTCTGATTGAAGAGTTCAATTTGATCACAGATGCAAATGAGTTGCAAAGGTGGTACTTCCCATTCTGTTAACCCTCAGTACTTTCTTAGGAACCAACAGACTCAACTTGGGATTACAGCATTCCCATACTGCAAATAATCAGTTTTAGTGTATTCAGAGCATCTGTTCACTGTGGGTTGGGGTTTTGGTTTTGGTTGTTGGGTTTTTTTGGGGGGGGTG